GGATGCTGCTTTAATTCTGCTAGTTTCTTTGCCTGAATCGTATGAGAATTTTGTTGATTCGTTTCTTGCTGGTAAAGAAACTCTGTCTCTGGAAGATGTTCGATCTGCTCTCCACATGAGAGAAGATTGTCAACAGGCAACAAATTCAGCAACAGAAAATCAGGCATCGGGACTTTTTGTTACGAGTAAGGGACAGAAGGGTTTTGGAAAGAAGAAACCAAACTCTAAAGGTCCAAAAGGTCCTAAACCCGGTGACATCTGCAACTACTGTAAAGAATCAGGGCATTGAAAGTTTGATTGCCCTAAGAAGAAGATAAAGAAAAAGGACAAGAAAGAGGATGCCCACGGTTCTGCAACTATGGCAGAAGCTGATGATTCAAAGTCTGAAGAAGATCTGGTTTTGGTTGCAGGTGATCAGCCACATCAGAATGATGTGTGGATTCTTGATTCAGGAGCATCATACCATCTCTGTCTTCACAGAGAGTATTTTACCACTTACGAGCAGGTAGATGGTGGCAACGTTTCCATGGCCAACAGTGCTGTTTGCAAGGTGGTAGGGATCGGCTCAATCAGAATAAGGACGCATGATGGGATATTCTGCACTTTGAACGATGTCAGGCATGTTCCACAGATGACGAAGAACTTGATATCGCTGAGTACACTTGACAGCAAGGGTTTTAATTTTCAGAGGTGAAGGTGGAGTAATGCATATTCTAAAAGGTTCAAAGGTGGTTTTGACGGGTCTGAAACGTGGTACTTTGTATATTCTGAAAGGTACCATCGTGACAGGCTCTGCTGATATTGCATCACCAGAAGTTCCAACGAAGGATATGACAAAACTATGGCATATGAGGCTTGGTCATATGGGAGAACGAGGGATGCAAATTCTGTCAAAACTTGATCTTCTTTCTGGGCATAATGTGCAGAATCTTGAATTCTGCGAGCATTGTGTATTTGGAAAGCTTCACCGCAGCAAGTTTCCAAAGAAGGGTGTACATCGGACAAAGGGGACTCTTGACTACCTTCATATGGATTGCTGGGGTCCTGCACGTGTTGAATCTATTGGAGGTCACAGGTTCTTTATGTCGATAATTGATGACTACTCGAGAATGACTTGGGTAATCATAATGAAGCATAAAAGTGAAGCATTCAAGAGGTTCAAACAGTGGAAGGGCTTGATAGAGAATCAGACAGGGAAGAAGATCAAGCGATTGAGAACTTTTGGTTGTACAGTTTATTATCACGTGAGTGAGGGTAAACTAGAACCAAGAGCAAAGAAGGGCGTATTTGTTGGTTATGGGGATGGAGTCAAGGGGTATAGAATTTGGTCGCCATCAGAAAATAGAGTTATCCTCAGTCGGAATGTGGTATTTGATGAAAATTCTATGCTTAATTTTGTTGAGAAGTCCATTGGTGCAGAAAATTCTGGTGTTGATAAACAGGTGGAGCTGCAAGTCACTCCAAATGAGAGTGAATTACAACCCCAAGGTGGAGAAGATCAACGCACTACTGCTGAAACCACCATTTCTGATGTTCATCCGGAAGCTCGTCAGAGAAGCATCGCCATTGATAGAGCTAGGAGGACAGGTGTGAAGCCTCCGGTGAGGTACGGGTTTGAGGACATGGTGACATATGCACTACAGGTCGCCGATGAGGTGGAAGATGAGCCATCGATAGACGAACCATCTACATACAAAGAATCTGTTTCGGGCAGTGAGTGCGCTAAATGGCTCGCTGCAATGGGAGAAGAGATGGAGTCATTATCCAAGAATCAGACTTGGGAGCTGGTCACACGGCCTAAGGAGAGGAAGATTGTTACTTGCAAATGGATTTTCAGGAAGAATGAAGGAACCATCCCTGGTGAGGGTGTAAGATACAAAGCACGGCTAGTGGCAAGAGGGTTCACACAGAAGGAGGGGGTTGACTATAATGAGATTTTCTCACCAGTAGTCAGACATACTTCCATCAGGGTGTTACTTGCGATGGTTGCACATCAGGATCTGGAACTAGAGCAACTAGATGTGAAGACAGCTTTTCTACATGGATTGCTTGAGGATGATATCTACATGACTCAGCCAGAGGGATTCGTGGTTCCAGACAAGGAGAATTATGTTTGCAAGCTGAAGAAGTCTTTATATGGACTAAAGCAGTCTCCAAGGCAGTGGTATAAGAGGTTTGACACTTACATGATTCAGCTAGGATTCAGCAGGAGTCCATATGATTGTTGTGTGTATCACAACAAAGCTGATGATGGCTCCATGATCTATCTTGTTCTGTATGTGGATGATATGCTCATAGCTGCGAAGTCGAAGTTAGAGATTCAGAAGTTGAAGGGCCATCTAAATGCTGAGTTTGATATGAAGGATCTGGGTGCTGC